AAGTACTACGGAATTTTATGCAGATACTAAATTTTATTATACTTCAAACAAAATATAGTGCATATACATCATGATTCACTGTTTACTATTTTCAACACAATTCTGTCTACTGCCCTCCAGTACATGTTCCTCCAATTATCATCTATCAAATATAAGAGTAGAAATACTGCAGAAAGTCCTGTTACAAAGCCCAAGAATATAACTACAATAAAAAGGACATTTTCTTGATCATATTTGTTCTCTACAGTTTCAGTGATAGATGGACCATTGTTACTGCAGTTCATCCCACCAGGAGCACCACATAAGTATTTGTTTCCAATATATGCTGTTCCATCTTGATACAAAGTGTCAAAATGCAGACCGCTTGGAATCCTTCCACTCAAATTGTTATAAGACAAGTTGAGATCCTGAAGGAAATCTAACAGTGTTAATGTCTCTGGAATTTCCCCTGTTAATTGGTTGTAGCTGAGATCCAATGACTCGAGGGAACTCATCTCACCAATAGTCTTTGGGATAAGTCCGAAAAGATTATTATGTGAGAGATTCAGCAATGGAAGTCCACTTAAAAGGCCAATTTTCTCAGGGATTTTACCAGTGAGAGCGTTGCCTGAGATGTCAAATCCAGTGTTGTAGGAATACACTGACTCAAGCAATTGTGTCTGTCCTTTGGTGACAATTTCTAGCTGCGCACCAGTGAACTTGAGGGAATAAACATAACCTAAGATGGTCGCCTCATTTTGTCTTTTCATCATTGTTTTCAAGCCGTCAAGATTCTCAGGAATGGGGCCAGATAGATTATTCCTGGAAAAACCAATATATTGTAGATTTTCCAACTTCACTAGCCCTTCTGGGATAGATTCATTGAAACAGTTTGATGCGAGCACGAGGATACGGAGGTGGTGTAGGTTACCGATGAACTTTGGTATCCTTCCTTCAAATTTATTGCTTGCCAAGTTCAGAATCTCCAAATCCTGAAAGTTTTCAATCACCGTTGGGAAAGATCCTTCAAACTCATTCCCGTTCAGGTCCAGATAACGAAGGCTTGTAACGCGTTCAAGTTCTTTTGGAACAATTCCAGTGAGCTTATTTTGTCCAAGATCAAGGTAAATGAGAGACTTGCAGTTTCCAAGATTACGTTGAATGGTGCCTGACAAGCTATTATTGGAGAGATCAAGAACTTGGAGAATATTAGGTTGTTGGCAAAATGATTCAGGTATTGGACCATGAATTTTGTTTCCGGATAAGGATATGGACCTGATACCGGGAACTTCTCCTATCTGTGTTGGTATTAACCCTATGAAGTTGTTAATTGACAAATCAATGACATTAACATTCTCGAGCTGAGAAGGAATTGGACCTTGAAGGTTGTTACTGGCCAAATTTATTATTGTTGGAAAAGGAGAAGATTTCAGCTGAATTGTTGAAGGTATAACTCCCTCAAAGTTATTCATGCATAAATCTAGTACAGAGAGGGAAGGGAGATTGAACAACCAGTATGGTATGGCTCCTGATAGACTGTTGTTAGCCAAATTCAAGATTGTGAGGTTTGTCAAATTTGAGAAGAAATCTGGGATTTCTCCTCTCATGTTGCAAGATGTAAATTCCAAAATCATGGGCTGAAAAGTTTGCACAAAGGGTTGATCTTGATCGTCAATTTCCAATGACAATCCACTAGCACCTATACTAATTTGATCCAATCTAGACTTTTGGAACAAAGACAATGGCATATTGCCATTCAGCTCATTCATCTGAATATAAAGATATGAAAGCTTAGGAAGCTGAAGTATGCACGAGGGAAACCGACCTGTTAGCTCATTCCATTCTAAATTCAGGTACTCAAGGGAGGGGATTTGACAAATTGAAATTGGAATTTGCCCTTGTAATCTATTCTGGAAAAGAGATAAGTACTGAAGACCTGTTAAACTGGACATGATTACCGGGAGTTGGCCTGTGATATTGTTGTCATTGAGCATCAGTACACTTAATTTCTTAAGGTTTGTGATGGAAGAAGGTATCAACCCTTGGATCGAGCATCCATCAGCTCGGAAAAAAGTTAATGAAGTTGAATTGCTTAACGAAGGAGGAATCGTTCCACCTACCCCTGTGAAACTTATGTCAACAAATGTCAACTTTGACCATGGGACTGAAAACATTGAAACAAGATTGATGATCATAGCAGGATTACTAGCAACATAAAGTTCCTCAAGTTGAGGAAGGTAAGGGATATGACCATCTAAATCATTGGAGCTAAAATCAAGAGTTGAGAGGGTTGTGAGATTCGATAGCAGATCAGGCATCGAGGATGTTAGAGCGTTAGAACTCATTTCTAGAATAGAAAGCTTAGTAAGGTTAAGTAATAGCCCTGTTGGAATTCTTCCTGAAATTTTGCAGTAGGGCAATTGAAGTGACTTGAGATTTGAAAGGCTTGATATTGGTTTAGCCCAATGAAATGATTCGGAGGCTTTTGATAGATCAACACCTGCCAATACAAGATATCTGAGGCCTCGGAGTCCTTCTAACCACCTTAGATTTGGACTGGATAATCGACCATAGCTGATAAAAGACGACAGTGAGCCGAAATCCAACTTTGGTGGTAATGTCAAGCTAATAGTAATAGAAGATAAATCAATTACTAAATTAGCACACGAAAGATCAAGCGACCTAAGAGATGTAAGGTTTGAAAATTGTGTGGAGATGGAATCTTGAAACATGGCATTTGAGAGGTTAAGATAAGTCAACTTTGTTAAGTTTGATATCTCAGTAGGTAGTTTAGAGAGCATGAAGTTGTTGAAACTCAGGTCAAGATATTGCATATGGTTAAGAGTGAAGAGCAATGGAGATATAGTACCATTGAGGGCATTTGATGTGTTGTTAGGATCTAAAACAAGTTCCTTATTGACATTGATTATGACTTCATCCGGATTAGGATTCCGGAGATTGACAACTACAACATGACCTGAACTTGAACATTTGATTCCTTCCCAATTGCAACAATTTCCGCCTTGCCATGAAGATAACCGATCAGATGGATCAGTCAGCATTGATTTGAAGCTCAATAGAGCTGCTCTTTCACTTTCATGGCAGCCATAAACGATCGAAAAATGACAAAATAAAGTAGCAAATATAAGGAATATTTTGAGGGTCCACATAGCTTCAAGATGATGAACAATATCCTAGGTTGTCAAGTGTTAAGATTTATACAGCAGTTAAATGCTTATTGTCTAGCTAAACACTTAAACTAAATTATTCATAAGTTTCTTTCCTAGAAAGTCTTCATGAATAAAACAGCATTATTTTGTCTAGGTTTTTACTAATAAATTGAAAAAAATTGCATTCTACGGTCGGCAGCCCGATGGACAAAGCATTCGGCTTTCAAACAGGGTCCAGAAAAAAGCCGCACCCCAAGGGGTATGATGTAGACAACATACCCTAATGCAAGCAGTGATGACTGCTTCCACAGCTTGAACCCGTGACCTATAGGTCACACGGAGATAACTTTATCGTTGCTTCAAGATTCCCCTTCGCATTCTAAGGTCAATGACTTAATTTATGTTTATCAAAATTCTCCAGAAACTTGATTTAATAGGGGAAAAAAATGGATAGAGTGTCTGTAAGGTGTCTTCATTTCACTGTTAATACCAGCAATTATCAAATTGTTTACAGAGAAGGTGGTTTACTTTGACAAAGTCCTCTGTCACATCTCTTCTAGGTTTGAAAAAAATGATATATCTGTTTTTAGTATATACTATAATTTTATATGCCATTGGTGTTGAAAACTATGTGTGGTCATTTTCCATGCCTTTTACAAGTGAGTAGCTTTTGCTTCTTGTGACATAATGCAATTACTTCTTCAATCCAACAAATGGAATTTGTCTTAATCATTTTTGACTTTGTTAGTTCTTCTATACACCAATTTCACCCTTATAAGCAAGTGTAGCTCTAAGATGCCTTTTATGCAATACCATGTTGTATATATAATTAGCAAACTTGAGAGATGACCGGAGATTACTCAGAAGTGAGTCATATAAACAACTTCTACTTACTTTTGAGATCTCTCAATCCTTAATCAAAGGTCTCGGAGAACTGTTTGGCAAGGAGCGCTTTACCGTCTTTAGTTGTTTACCTGACGCGAAATTTGATTAGTCGGGCCAATGGACTAGGAATACATGGTTTAAAAAAAAAGTAATGAAATATCACTTATCAAAAAATTAAAAGCACTAAATCTACTCTCCTTTTTTATATAATAGTTTCTTGGCACGCGCGTTACACGTGTATGTCAAAACTTGTAGCATATGGTACGGTGTTGTAAAATTATCAACGTTATTAAAACATAACTTTGAGTAAATAATTACAGATAAAAAAAACAGTGGGAGACTAGGGCTCAAATTGCAATAGAGAAACAAAGACTATATGATTTCTAAGTGATTTCCTCCCATTTCCCAAGTCTTGATGGTCAAAGTTACCCGGTATCTGTGCTGGTAGGAGGTAACATGTACTCCATTAAATAGTAGAGATCCGCACAAGCTGGCCATACACCAGTGTTATCAAAGAAAAATCAACAACAACACAACAACAATAAACACAGTATAATCCCACAAGTAGGGTATGGGGAAGGTAGTGAGTACACAGACCTTATCCTACCTTGTGAAGGTAGAGAGGTTGTTTCCAATAGACCTCGGCTTAAGGAACACTAAACTGGAAGTAACCAACAATAACAACAACAAGAAAAAAACAAAGACACTACATGTAATAACAAAGATCTAAGAAAAGAAATACAAGAATACTACGAGCAATACTGATAAGAATGACGCAACATAAAATAACAAAGATCTAGGAACACGAAACTATAAATAGAAAAATCAACAAGAACCAGAAAATATGCTAAGTAGATTTTACATGGCTATATAACTCCTGAACCACAGTAATGGTCCCCCAAGGGTCCACATATATAGATATTTCAAGAGTTGTCACATACAAAAGATAAGATTTTAGCTTCTATACCAACCTTTGAAATGGAGAAATAACAAGTAAATAACGTGTCTTCTCTATGGCCTTAACTGCTGGAAGTAATGCTTATTCTCTTTCAAGATTTTATGTGCAAGCAGCTGATACCAAAGAAATTAAAGTGACAACAAAAAAAGAGACATGGCATGGAAGGAGAGAGCTTATATTTTCAACAGTTATTGCAGCTGTCCAAGTCAATGATTCTAAAACTGAGCTTCTTCAGAGTGTGTTGCTTGGATTTCACATTTTCCTTCCTATTTGATTTTTTAAAATTTTATCACAACTATTGAAAATAATATATTTTTTTTGCATTATGGCTCTTAGGATATCTCAAGAAGTCAGAAGAGAACAAGGCCAAGAATGATAAGGAGGTAACTATCATGAGTTTAACTTTCTATACATTAGCAGTGTAAAAGAAATTTTATACGATCAGGTCACTGATACTACAGCTAAATGACATTGTATAGCCGCTCTCAAAATAATAGCCGAAAAATATATATATTTTGTATATATATACATTTATATATACCATTTTATATATTTTTTTGACTACCGGATGCAAATAGTTCTGCAGCAAGCTAAAGTAATCTTTTAAAGGAAGTTTTACAGGAATAGCCAGTCAGATTCACTTTTTACTTTTTCTAGCCGGTATATATAGATTATACACTGATTCTACATAATTATACACATATTATATATGGATTATACATATATTATATATCCGTAGGTTATTTTTAGTATAAATGATCGGGAAGACGGCTATTTAGGTTAGTTCTTCTTTAAAAATAAGGCAATTGCTTGCGACAACCGGATTAAATACACTGATAGTACAAAAATTATGCTGACATATTGCTGAAGGAATTTCTACATCCTATAAAGTGCATAGTGTCAAAATATTTGTGAATTATAAATTTCTTTCTTTTTTTTTGGTTTTCTACAATTTGCTCAGTTATATCATTTCTACATCCTCTGCTTTGTTTTAATTATTTACAGCTTTTTACCTTTGTTTCTTCTATTTAGAGATTGGACAGTTACTATAAGCGCAACTACGGAGACTATTTTGGCTTTCTAGAAGGTGACCTAAAGCAAAAGAAAGAGCAACTCACTGAAGCAGAGCAAGGCATTCTTAAGTGGCTTGAAACCAACAAATGAATATCTCTCAAACTGGTTGTGAAGGCATATATATATACAAGCCAATTCATAGAAAGTTTTTGATGTAGTGATTGTATAAACTGGATATTATATATTAATTACTAGCATCAAATTCTTCCTCTCATAACCCTATTAAACTACTTTGAAACTATTTGTGTAAAGTTCTCTGTGCTACGTGGCATTTCAGGGCTGTAATAGTACCAATTCGGACATGTTCGGGGGGGGGGGGGTTAATAGGTTCTTGCAAAGTACAGGCGTGTGACTGGTAATTCGAGACAAATTCGGGGGGCTTCGTAAGGCTTTTTACCATTTTATCCTGCTTTCTCCATCCTTCCTACTTCCACTGTGAGACTATGTTGCTCGCACTTTGGGTTCAAAAAGGTCTTAGCAATATCCTGAATGAATCTCATAGCCAGGGGCGGATATATAGTGACGGGAATAGGTACCATCGAATTGATCATTTTTTTTTTTACTTAATCACATAGGTGTGAGAAAATCCTGAAAAGAATTAGAATAAATGTCAAGTTTGTAACTCATATTTATGAAGAATTTAGAACCTTAAACTCTCATTAAATTTAAATTTTAAATTTGTTACGACAGATTGAATTGGTAAAGTCACATGTCAGGCAATCTTTACAATAGAGCTGTCAATATGAGCTACACCCAGTAGACCGGCCCAACCTAGCCCGTATTTTATATGCTTGGGCTAAAAAATTTGGAGTCCATTAAAAAAGGAGGCTTTTAAGCCCGGCCCAAGAAAAAAAAAAGGAAGATGCATGATGAAAAAATGGGAGAAATTCAAAAATAGCCAGATTTACAAGTGGTCATTCAAAAATAATCACAGTTTCAAAAGTAATCGAAATTTAGCATAATATACTGGAGTTTGGAGCACCGGTGCTCCAGTCTCCAACAAAGTATATCGGTCCAGCATAATATGCTGGAAATTCATACACAGGTGCACCGAACTCCAGTATATTATGCTGGATTGGTCTTTGTTGCAACAAAATAGTGGCTATTTTTCAATGGCTTGGCAAACGCTGGCTATTTTTGAATGACCAGTCCGAAAATTGGCTAGACCGTGCTATTTTGACTGAAAAAGTGCATCCCATTCATTTAATTATGTCTTTTCACTAGGGGTGTTAAACGGGCCGGGTCAGCCTGGTTCCGGACCACCCCAGACCGGTTAAAACCAGAACCGTCCCGGACCGGTAGAAGGGGGCTGGGTTAAGGGCGACTGGCGGGTTGCACCGTTTACATTTGAAATATCGGTTACCCGGACCGGTATAACCCGGTCGATGAACAGTGTTGTTAAACCGGTTAACCGGCCCGACCCGGACCGGACCGGCCTANTTTTTTTGGAATTTAATTTATCGTAGTATTTATTATTTGAAGTTTGAACAATTGAACTTCAAAATTGGAACAATTGACGTTTCTTCGTGGTAACATTGGAGTTGTGAAATCATCAAGTGCTCAATTTATTGCCGAATTCAATGCACTCCCTCCAACTCTTTCTCTTATTTACATTTTATTTGCATATTTATTTGTTGCTAGTAGTTAAATTTTTACAATATGTTTAATGCTGCAAAAAGAGTTTATAACAAGGTCACTAATCGGGGAAATAAAAAAAACTAGTTCTTCAGCTTCAACATCTAGTAGTAATTTAAATACCTCTCCAAATATTCCTGAAATATTACCTGATAATAATATAGATTATGAACAATTGCAGGAAGATTTTGGTATAGATGATAATGAATTAGAAATGGAAGATGAGAGACCACTTACACCTAGTAGTGTTGGAGCTGCTAGCAGGGGTGGTGGTCATGGTGCTAGTAGTAGACCACCTGTGGCCCCGACTAGTAATCGTAGAAAAAGAAGTAAGGTTTGAAATTTTTTTGAGAAAATAGAAGGTACTGATAGAGTTAAATGCAAACTTTGTAATGATACTTTTAAACATAAAACTGGAGGACAACTAGGGGGACTGAGACACTTAGTAGACATATGAGAATTGAGCATCCTATAGAATGAGGATCTGATGGAGATGGAAATCAATCAACTCTAAACCCTACTACTGAAGGTCTTGTGAAATATGATAAAATGAAGGATCGTGAGGAGTTAGCAAAAATGATTGCTTTGGGTTGTCTACCTTTTTCTTTTGCTTCTTCATCATATCTTATTATGTATATTCAAAGGATTTACAATCCTTTATTTAAAGGTATCCCTAAAAGTACTTGTAGATCTAATATCTTTAGACTTCATGGACAATATCAAACATACATACGTTATTTGTTTAGCTACCTTCCTTGTAGAGTTTCTCTAACTTCTGATATTGGCCATGCTGTTAATGAAAATGATTATTTGACAATTACATGTCATTGGATAGATGATACTACTTGTATGCAAAAATGTATTATTGCTTTTAAATATGATGAAGATCAGAGTCATATTGCTGCGTTTATAAGTAGTACTATTTGTGAAGTTGTTGAATTTTATAATCTCAAGCAAAAAGTATTGTGTATGTCTTTTGATAATGCTTCTAACAATAATGCCGCAATTTCAATATTAAAACTGCATTTGCAACCACCTCTTGATGAAATATTTCATGTTAGGTGTGCATGTCATGTTAATAATTTAATTGTTAAAAGTGGCCTTGATTTATTTTCAACTGAGCTTTCTCATGTTAGAAGAGCAGTTGGTGTTATTCAAGGAAATAATAGACAATCTAGAATAAAGGAATTTAAGAATAAGTGTGTCCAGTATAACCTTAAACTCAGATTCATGCCATACGAAATTGTTGCTAGATGGAATTATACATATATATTTTTAAAATGTTGCTACAAATATAGATTCCCAATAACTAAAGTTGCTAATGCGCATTGTACTGATCCAAACCGTATGTTAACAACTACTACGTGGGAGGTCATTAATGATGTTGTTAAATTTTTATATAAATTTTATACAGCTATTGTTGAGTTTTCTGGAGCATATTATCCTACTGTTACTATGGCTTTAGTACATAAAGCTGAAATTTCTTTTCTACTCTTTAAATTTAAGAAGAAAGAAAAATATAGGGATGTTGTTGAAAAAATGCAAGCAAAATTCAAAAAATATTTCTTCCAATTCCTCCGATTTACTTAATTGGTGCTGTTTTAAATCCTTCTATTAAGATGTCTGATTGTCACCAATTAATGAATGCTTTATATACTTATATGGAGATTGAACTAACTGAAACCCCAGATTTATATACTTGTATGAACAAGCTAAATGAATATTTACAACAATTATATAATTATT